CCAGAATATACTAAAAAAAATCTTACAATTCAACAAAAAAAAAACTAACGGCCCAATTAAAAATGGGCAAAGGACTTGAAAAGATATTTCTCCAAAGAAGATACATGTAGTCCCCGGGTTACGAACATTCGACTTACGTAAAACCCATAGTTATGAACCAACCCCCCCGTAAAGCCTATTATATTAAAAATTCAAGGCACATACAACGGTTTGTAATAACAAAAGGGCACTACTTTGCGACGCATATTAAAATGTTACTATCATTGTATTATTATGTTAAAAGACGTTTTAGTATATCTGGAAATTTTTTTGATTTTTTTATGCATAGAAAGGTACACCATATACTATATACTAATATAAACATTTGACTAACTGACATTAGATATGAAGTGTAGCTAACTGTTCCAACTTACGTACAAATTCGACTTAAAGACAGACTTAGGAATGTAACTCATTTGTAATCTGGGGACTGCCTGTACGCATATGGCCAGTAACCACAAGAAAAGGTGCTCAACTGTCATTAGTCATTAGGAAAATGCAAATCAAGACCACAAAGAGATAGCACTTCACACCGCTAAAGTGGCTATTATCAGAAAAACAGAAAATCACAGTGTTGGTGAGGATGAGGAGGAATTGGAACCTCATTCACTGCTGGTGGGAATGTAAAGTGGCACAGCCCCTGTGGAAAAGAGTCTGCGATTCGTCAAAAAGTTAAACATAGGATTACCATATGATCAGCAATTCCACGCCTAGATGTAGACGTAAAAGAATTGAAAGCAGGGACTCAAGCAGATACTGGTATCTACCAGTGTTCGCTGCAGCATTATTCACAATCGCCAAAAGATGAAACATCTCAAGTGTCAATCAACAGATGAATGGAAACACAAAATGTGGTCTATCCATACAATGGGATATTTTTCAGCTATAAAGAGAATGAAATTCTGATAAATGCTATGACATGCATGAACTTTGAAAACATGCTGAGTAAAATAAGGCAGACACCAAAGGACAAGTACTGTATGATTCCATTTATCTGAAATATCTGGAACAGGTAAATGTACACACCGAAGTTTATGAGTGGTTAGCAGGTGCAAGGGGAAAACGGAGAACTACTGCTTCAGGGGTACTGAGTTTCTGTTCGGGGTGATGAAAAACTTTTGCAAATGGATAGTGGTGGTATTTGTATAACATGGTGAATGTAATTAACATCACTGAATTGTACACTTAAAAATAGTTAAAATGGCAAATTTTTGTTATATACATTTTACTATAATAAAATTTTAAAAAGTAAACCTGATAAAAAAAAATAGATATAAAATAACAATATATTGTGAGTTTATAAAATATC